GCGGGATGTGTGACCCTTCCGCCGCTCACCTCAAATCGCACTTCTACGCCTCCTCGAGCAGCAGCAGCAGCATAAATACGCCGGTCCACTAGGGGCCGTCACCAGCCATTGCAGGAAGACCACTGTGCCTCAGTGCCATGAAACCCGAATTGCATTGACGGGCCACTTCGGAAAATCCTGTCGCATCCTCCCCCAATTATGCGGAAACACATCCGTCGTGCATGTGTCCATCGCAGCCAAATGAATACGGTCCAAATACCCTCCAAATCAAATTCCCCTTTCCTCAAGCCATTCCCTCATTCCATACGCCCTGACCCTCATCCGCACGTGCCCGCTCACACAAACCGCCATAGACAGATGGTGGCCGCCCAACGCTCCGGAAAAACATGCCCAGCACGCACGCGCATAATAAATGGCATGCGCAAACGCACGGCACGACGGCGGAGAAGCGCACACCGAAAGGATGCCGCCCTCCACAGCAGTCGCAGCCCACCGCGCGCATCACACCCGCAGGAAGAGTGACTCGCGGTGCACGCTCCCTCTCTCCTCCTTCCCTTCATCCCCACGGAGGAAGCAGCAGCCACCCGCAACCGCCAGCACACGCTACAAAAGAGGCATCCAAATCCACTGCAATGTGCATTTTGTGTGGTTGTGTGTGCCTGCAGACACACGAAGCAAAAAAGTAAAAGCAGGAGCGGAGCATGTGAAGGGACGCACAAACAAAACAGTACAGCAGAAGCGCATGGCAAAAATAGAGAGAAAAAGACTGCTCAAGCTCATGTTATTGCACTGCAGACAAAGCAGCGGCAATTCATAAAAATTTATTAAAATTAAAAAAATTCATCTTCACCTTTCCGCACCTCACACTTTGGAAAGAAAAATAAAAAATGAAAAAATGAAAAAAGGAAAAGAAAAAAAGAAATGAAAATAAAAAAAAGAAAAAAAAAGAAAAAAAAAGAAAAAAAGAAAAGAAAAACCACACAAAAAAAGCACCCAACTACCATGTTGCTCCAGAAACTGTCCGCATATATTTTGTCCGAAAATAAAATTAAAAAGATATTTAAATGTCTTTCAACCGTCTGACCCTCTGTGTGTCCGCACATCGTTTATATTTCATGGGGTCATCTGCGTGTTGCTGCTCCCCTCAGCCCTTTAATTAGCGCGTGAGTGCGGCCCGCAGAGCACAGTCACTCGTGTGTGGGGGGCTGAGAGAATCACGCAGACATGACGGGAGTCGCGTCTCTCCATCGGGAGAGTGAGCGCAGCAAAAAAAAAACACGGTGGCAGGGTGTGGCTGTGTGTGTGGCGCTGCGAGTGTCTGCCCGCCCCGGCCGCAAGGAAACAAAACAAGAGGGAAAGAAATGTGTGCTCCGCCCCACAGGCCCTCGTCGCACGCCCACACGCCACGGCTCCCTCAGCGCGCCGTTCGTCGCGGCTCCTCCTCATGCGTGCAGCAGGCGAGGCGCACAGGGCCGTCGTCATGAGCGTGTCGGTGGGTGTGCGAGTGGAGCAGTTGGGCGGGAAGCGCACGGCACCCCTCACAGGAAGAGTGCAGAAGAAACAATTAAAGAGGAAAGAGAGAAAAAAGTCCATAGTGATTGCCCCGGGAAGAAGAAAAAAAGAATGGGGGATGGGAAAAAAAAACAAATTTGATGAAATGAAAAAAATTAAAGCATTAAAAAAAAATTTAAAATACGCACAAAAAAAGTTTTTATGAAATAAATTCGTTCCTATGGAAATAGTATTTCTGTGCTCGGGAGGGCGCAATTGTCCCACGCGGCGGCCACTCACGCCTCACAGAGCCGCAAACCCCCACAGTCCCAACAGAAGCAGCAATGGCAACAGTCCGCTCGCACGCACAATGCCGCCATCACCCGTTGCTTCTTTCAAATCGGCACTCCCACCAGTAAACGTCAACGGGCGGTTGTACAGCAGGACATTTGTCACAGTCACAGACACATATTCGTCACCCGCTGTGTTCTCTGCATTGCCTCCATCCCCTCCAATGTAGAAGTGGGAGATACCTTTCGATTCCGTGTTTTCAAAGTTACTTTGCACACTCTCACACACACGCTGACCATCGACGTACACGGAGCCCTGGGTGCCGTTCTGTAGCACAATGGCCACCTGGTGTGTTGTCTCTGGATCCCAAGTGCTGCTGTGCTCCGCGGTTGTTCCGTCACAGCACAGCGCCTGCCACTTCTTTCCGCTGCCGTACGACAACTCCATAAGTTTCGTTCCTCCGTTACTGCCTGCACGCACACCCATCAAAGGGACGCTGTCACTCTTCGGCTCACCGTGGATGGACACCGTCGCCACAAGAGTGAAGTTGTAGTTCGCAAAGTGGTACAGCTGATTCTCCCCCTGCCTGCCAACGGGCCACTCCGCCCACGCTCCCTGGAACTTCACACCGCCGCCATGCAATGTTGCCCCTCCACTCGTTCCTTTCTTTACTGTGGAGTTCACTCCGAGGTACTCGTCCATCCATGTCTTATCAGAGAAATTGCCGGACAAAAAACCAACCAGCCCATCCGTAATCTTATCAGTAGTGCAGACATTGTCAGTTGAGGGATTCCTCGCAGGATTTGAGAGGCACAGCTTGGAGAGACGTTCGTCCACTTTCTTCCAGGTCGTCAGAACCTCCTTCACCCGCTTCAACTGCTCAGTCAGACGCACAGAGACCATACCGAGTGATGATTCCCCATCGCCCTTCTTCTCGTACAGTGCAACCAACTCATCATTCTTATTATTATTCTTATTAGTTCCACTTCTGTACAACAGGGAGCTGGCGGTGACGTCTTCTTCCTTCTCGGATACCGGCCCAATATCAACAATGTGAGTGTTGTCCGTCAGCCAAAGATGGAGTTCGCCCTTTTCTTTTCCACGGCCTCCTGTATCAGCCTTCTTGGAAAACACCGGCAGAGTAACGAGCATCACATTCCTCTTACCATTTTCTACACCGTCAATATTCGCTGTGATGAACCCGCTTCTAACGCCCCACTCATGTCGCTTTTGGTTGTTGCCCCACACGCGCGAGAGTGTCCCGAGGGCCTCCGTCCACGACGCCCCCTTGTCACCGGACTCGTACACCCTGCGACGGCCATCATCACACGCAGTCATCATCATGAGTTTTCCCTTCTCCCGCTCCACGACGGAGGGATCAGTGCAGCCATAGGCAGACATCCCCTTTGACAGCGTCCAATTCTTAGTATACGAGGAGTACAAGATCAGCGAAACGTTGTTATTCTTTTCTTCCTTTGCTTCACTTTCAGTGCCGTGCTCCTTCACTGCTTCCAAGGGAAACACAAGCGTATCGTCATCCATCTTAATACCCGATCCACCGCCTCCAATGAGCAATGCCCAGGATTCATTAAGTTTTACAATCGAAGTGCACGGGAGATCGTCAGTAACTTCCCAAACAATTCCTTTGTCCTGTTCTTCACTGACATTCCCCTTTACCAGCAAAAGACCCCATGAGGCCGCGTCAGCCCTACCCTGACAAACAGCGACATTTTCTCTGTTGTATTTTCCAGCAAGCATGTAAATGCCATTTCCCATCACAACTGTTGTTGGCCGGCTCACATGTACGCTGTAGAAACTTTTGGAACCAGCGCAATTCGTTGACTGAGAGTGGCTTTTGCCTCCTTCGGAAGAACATTCCTCCAGTGTCTTTGTCTTCAAATTACTTCCACCCAATTTTTTGGGGGTTTCACCACTCAACTCAAGGAGCTCCGAGGCAATCCCAGTAAAGAAATATTTTCCATCCTTCAACCGCGCCTCGGCAAAGGCAAACACGCCACCATTCACCTCAACAAGACTGGGAGCATAGAGCGAAACCACTGTCTCTTTACCATTCTTATCTCTCCAGACAATATGTTTTTCCAGTGAAGATCCCTGAACTGACGTTGGCTCATCAGCCTTCACAGCCCCACCAGTGGCGCAGCAAATCACAAGGAAGAGCAGCACCGCGGAAGCAAACACATGCCGGGACATGTTAGGCCTCCGATGCTCACTCTCTCTTCCTTCCCTCCTCCTTCTGCTGGATCCGGTCACGCGGCGACGGTTGTGTTTGTTGGGTGCCTTCACTGCAGCAACACGTGAGAGCATGTAAATATGTGTGTGTGGGCGGTGTGTGTGTGTGCTGCTGTTGGTCCTTTCAGTGCCTTAGAATTTCACAGTGGCGATTAGCGTTTGTTTGCTTTCCTTCCTAGCGTGTGTCTGTGCTCAACAAGTGGAGAAAGAAAAAGGCGGCAATACATCAGACACGTCCGCGGGGAGCAAAGCAGAGCACCCATGCAAAGAGCGGGACACAAGAGAATCCGGAAGGAACAGCGGGGAGCACCATCGCCTACACCAGCCCTCACACACACACACACCATTGCAGTGCTGCCAGACCGCGCGTGGAAGGATTTGGTCCTCCACACAACAAACGCACACACCGCCAGCAGTCACCCACCAATGGACGAGAAGAGACACACCGCCACCGCCTCCAGCTCAATCCCACGGCCAACGGGATACGGCCACAGCCCGCTGCCGGCACACAACGCACAAGGAGCGAGCAATCACCCAAAGAGCCACACGCGGAAGCAATTCCTCATCCATCCATGAAGCGGCGCCTCAGTCCATGCGGTCACACGGAGCGCACTGTTTCCCCAATAGAACTCATTCGTCGTCCATCCCCTAAAGATGCTTCTGTTAGTGATGAGCCTTCGAACACAATAGAAGAAAATGGACAATGCAGTGGTACTGTGACACCGCCAGCCACAATGATTCCCTCATACCGGGGCAATTCTCCAATTAATCCTCGTACCCACACAATCAACACACTATATAAAAACCACCCAATCCTTTTCACCAGAAGCCAAACAACCCCTTTCCCTCCCTAATTTCTTCTGTCACTGTTATGTTTGATAGCGTTGGACAGTTCTGAAATCTGTGCGATATACTGTCACCGCACGGGGCTGGTGCACCCGCACCGCATGCTCAGACACAAGCATCCAAAAATACATAAACCCACAATATTTTTAACACAAATCAAGCTGTCTCGTTCACTTTCAATTTCCCAATCTATGTTCCTATTGTTATTTATTTTATTGCACACTTCGGAGAGCTTCGTCCATTGAAAATTCTCCGGACGATATTAACACTGGGTACTGGCGCACCTTCTCCCTCCAGAACGCCGCTATTTCATAGTGTTCCGCGTCGCTCACATTATCGGAATTGACGACATCACATCTCCGTCAGTCGTTCATCGGCGTGCTGTCTGCCTGCTGCACGTAAATAATCTCCCACGACATGTCTTGGGATGATTCCTCCCAACCATTAAAATATGCCGCCAGGCACTCAGTGAACTGCCTCACAGTGCTGGCGGTGGTGTGTTGTCCACCCGCCGTAGTCATCCGCAGCGCAACCAGGGTCATTGGATTTGACACCAAGAAAAAAAAGGCGTCCACCAGCGGAAGGTTTGCGACCGCCGGTTTGTACAGCACCCCGTACTTTATTTTACGGATCGGTTTTTCATATTCACTCGGCAGCAAACCTTCATCTCCCTTGGGATGCAATTCAGGGGCCAACTTCAAGACGCAGGGCTTTGCTTGACGTCCTGTTGGTGGCTCAAACTCCGTGAGTTTCGTCCCCATTGTCTTGACAAAGGCACTCTCCGTGCACAATTTCAAAGCAAGCCATCCAAAAAATATTGGCAAAATATTATCCTTCGACGCCAACATCAGCCTCAAAAAGCCATTTTATTCTGTTGCACTTGGGAAGCGTTCCAACGCCCGTTCCTCGAGGCAATCAGATATCAGTGCATTGAAAAGGATCACACCGCCTGCGTATATTTCCCGAGCAACCTTCACAGGCTTGTGAGACGGATCCTCAGAATACCGTGGCGACTCACCTCCCCGTGAAAAGTGCTTCTTCACAGTTACCTCGTTGATCGATTGCAATGCAAACCCACCTCTCTACAGCGTTCCGTAGACGCCTCCTCATCAAAGACGTGACGTGGAATCGGTCCCAAAAGATACATGTGTTCTTCGACCTCTTCCAGTATTCCGCTTGTTTCTCTTTATCCCCATCACGCGTTGTCCATGCACACATCGCCTTCACATCCATCTCGTCAGGGCACTTCACGATGACTCGCGCGGCTCGTAGTTGCTTCGCCCACTCATCACAGTTGTTTACCTTTGGGAATGACACCGCAATCATGCCCCATCCAGAAGTGGGCGCAAAATGTCTCGGTGGCGGCGTTCCCTCCTTTGCCACATCGTAGATAATATACGCATTCCTCCCATGGCCCCCTCAAACTTCTCAACTCAGAGATGCACATGTCCTCATAGCTCTATCTTGTCACCGCTCTGGTGGTCTTGTCAAACACGCACGCGTCTCCTCCACCAAAACAGTCGACTACCACTTGGAGTTTCTCGACATCGCAGTGCAGCAGCTGGTAGAGGAGGTACGAGCGGCAGCCACCGATTTCCCGATCCCGGGCGTCCCAATCAACACACGTCGCTCGAACTTAAAGTCGGTCTCACCGTGAGGGCTGAGCCACGCGGTTAGATCGCCCCTGACGATCTGCCACACTCGACCCACCCCACAGTTTACAAAAATGTCCTTGGGAAGATCCTGTATCGTATTCCGCGAGTACGGCCATCCCTTGTCCGAGGCAAGCACCATCAACACGGGAGGTGCCGCACCGAATTGCTGCACAGCGTCATTCTTTTCGATAGCGTCGTCAGCTTTATTGTACGTCCATGACTGTTCTGGCTTCCCCTCACGCACCCCCATTCCCATCCCCGTTTTCTTTCGCTCCACGCCGTCCGGAAGTTCCACCGCATGGCTCCGCCTCGCATTGTGCACAGACTCGTAGCATCCCTCCAGTTTCTCCGGTGCGCTCGTCGTCGTTGGGTTCCTCGCCTCCCCGGCAGCTGCATCCAAGAAATGTTTGGTGGAGTTATGAACAGCTGCTTTTACCTCCGCAGCAGCTAATGACCACCCCGGTGGATTGTTGACACCCTTATCGCATAGCTTGCGTATATCCTCATCGAAGATCGCTTCACCCTTCACAGCTCGCTTCATACTCAAATAACGATCCGATGCCTGCATTTCGTTCAATGCTCCTTTATCACGGATATACTTGGTGGGGTCCTTGAAAAACTCCTCCAGCAATACATCCCGATTGGTGTCCACAATGCCCCTGCCGTCCAGTTCCCTCGTAAGATAGTCGCTCAGCTTCATTTCCTTGACGCGAACTCTTCCTTTAAACAGTACGTCTTCGATATTAGTGGAAATGGTAAATTTCATTTCCTGCGTTCGTCTTAGCCTTTCCTCTGCCTCCCGCCTCGCTTCCGTCAGTACCTGCGTGAGTACTCCGTTTGGTTTTCCCCTTGCAAGAGGAGTGATCGTATGCTTTTCTTCCATAGTCCCTCCATTGCCCGAGGGAGAACACACCTTCGTGAAGCGGCTTAGTAATGGCCTCCAGCGCTTGGTACGCAGTTAAGTTAAAAATTTCTTCAAGAAGCCGCTGGTCTTGTACGCAATCATCCGGCTCCTGAACAAACACCTCCATCGTCACATTGTAGCCTTCATCAACGGCCGCCCTGCCGCCAACATAATTCCAAAGGAAACCGTTCAGCCTCATGTTGGTGCTGCTCATGGTCCACCGCGGCCACACTTCACTCCCCACCACACGTCGAGCTGCAGCGTCGGAACCATCACAAGAGCCACGGCGAGGTGCCATCACAACACCCGTGCAGTGAAGCGTCCCACTCGCACCGCCCAACTGCGGCCAGCAGGTGCCGCTGGCTCCAAAGGACACTCGCGGCTGCTTCGTCCCGCTGTCCCAATGGCGTTGGGCGTGGCACTCGCACGGCGGGGCTGTCGGTGCGCCATGCAGCCGCACTGCAACGCCTGTCGGTGAAACAGTCAAGGCCCACCGCCCCGCAGCAACGCGAGGCGTGCAACCAACCCCAACACCGCCACACTATCGTCCTTTTTTATTTTGTTTTATCCACGTTGTCGGTCTGTTTGCCTCATCACCGACACCAAAAATAAGTGCACACCTTCACAAAAGAAAAATAAAGGAGGCACGATCCCACCGTCCCGCCGCGGACCAACAATCTCCTCCACCCACCACCATTGCCGCACAGAAAACCGCAGTCACATCGCAGGGTCAGCACCACAATGTGCACCACACAATCGTGCAGTGAACGATGGGCCGCACGCGGCCACGCATCGCCCCGCTCCATTTTACCACCAATCAGGTTTTGTTTGCCCGCAAAAAGTAGCAAACAGAACCAGAGTGCACACAAACCCTATCATCCCCCTCACTCGCTGAAGCACATTATTCGCATGGAGTGACAACATTTGGGGACACACCAGCAGTAGCTGGCTGCATGGAATTTCCCTGCCAACCCCGCAAAGAGACGCAACAACTCTTCGGAGTCAAAGTGGCAGCCCCGCGGTGTTGTCCGCAGTTCACACGGCAGGAAGAATTCCACGCACGCATATTTCCGGACACCTCGCTGTCTGAGTGCCCAACAGAACATGTAAAGAAAATACCTGCGCGCAAGGTGGAATTAAATACGTGAAAAGTCGGCCTGCTTTCTCCGATGGCGTTGGCGAGCAGTCCCACACAATCCAATCAAAGTGGCACGCCGGACAGAATGGCGTCCGTCAATCAATAAAAAAATGCGACACTGAAAAGGAGCAGAGAAGAGGTGGCGCATGCGATTGCCAGTGACAACCGTAAGCAATCCCGCCAGCACCAACTGAGATGCCGAGGAGCACGTTTGTGTAGAACTGGCCGTCAGGCAGAGAGGACAAATAAAACAAAAGGGCAGCAACCCCTCTCGTTCAATGTCTCCTGACCGCAAGAAGAGAATCAAAATACCATGGACGATAAGAGCGGCAACGCCTTCTCCAAAACATCTTGTCAAGAAGCCGCAGGATCTCAGGAAGAGAAGAAGGCAGCGGCGGCAGCCACAGCGGGGGAGGCAAAAAAACGGCTGGCAGGCACCTTCACGTCGACGCGCACACCACATCCGAGTGGGCTGGGAGCACTGATCGAACCGCTCGGGAACACACGCATCAAATCCGCAAAACAAAGTCGCGTTGAATCGACAGGAACCCCCCGCCCAAAACAAATTTAAAAAGTAGCGTTTTTCAAGGGGGATCCGCTTTTCCGACGGCGGCACGGACGCCTCGCAGGAATTTCTTGCAAATCTCCCTTCGCAGGTCCGCAAGAAAACGCAGCGGAATAAAAAGAGACCGCAACAACGCAAAAAAAAAAAAATAATCCTCCTAACCGACCAGGTGGCAGGCCGCCCTCGCGCAAGTGGACAAGACACAGCTTCACTCCGGTCTGGTGGTGGTGGTCGTCTCGCAACTATTTTTTTCCTTTTTCGCCGCAGTACACATCCCCCCCCACACACAATTTGTTCGGGCCATGTTCCTGCGGCCAAACATCGCGCTGCTGGATCCCGCGGCACAGTCCTCGGCACAGAAGTGAGGGGAGGAAGAGGGACCGCAGAAGATGCGAGCAAATCCGAATTCGGTGGCGGTCGCTGCAGTGAGGATTGACGTCCCACGCGGTGTCCCTTTTCTAGGTCCGGTCCTCAGCGTGCCATGCTCTCAGCGTGCGGTGTGCCGGCCGCTCCGAACATCCACACGTGCTTGCGTCTCACCGTCGCTCCCAGCCCCGTTCGTTGGCTGCATCAGGGATGCCGCCATCCAGAGACGGGCATAAGGACGTTGCATCCAACAAAAACCTCAGAGGCACCCGCTGGGCCAACGACAACCGTCACTGCGGGATGTGTGACCCTTCCGCCGCTCACCTCAAATCGCACTTCTACGCCTCCTCGAGCAGCAGCAGCAGCATAAATACGCCGGTCCACTAGGGGCCGTCACCAGCCATTGCAGGAAGACCACTGTGCCTCAGTGCCATGAAACCCGAATTGCATTGACGGGCCACTTCGGAAAATCCTGTCGCATCCTCCCCCAATTATGCGGAAACACATCCGTCGTGCATGTGTCCACCGCAGCCAAATGAATCCGGTCCAAATACCCTCAAAATCAAATTCCCCTTTCCTCAAGCCATTCCCTCATTCCATACGCCCTGACCCTCATCCGCACGTGCCCGCTCACACAAACCGCCATAGACAGATGGTGGCCGCCCAACGCTCCGGAAAAACATGCCCAGCACGCACGCGCACAATAAATGGCATGCGCAAACGCACGGCACGACGGCGGAGAAGCGCACACCGAAAGGATGCCGCCCTCCACAGCCGTCGCAGCCCACCGCGCGCATCACACCCGCAGGAAGAGTGACTCGCGGTGCGCGCTCCCTCTCTCCTCCTTCCCTTCATCCCCACGGAGGAAGCAGCAGCCACCCGCAACCGCCAGCACACGCTACAAAAGAAGCATCAAAACCTACTGCAATGTGCATTTTGTGTGGTTGTGTGTGCCTGCAGACACACGAAGCAAAAAAGTAAAAGCAGGAGCGGAGCATGTAAAGGGACGCACAAAAAAAAACTGTACAGCAGAAGCGCATGGCAGAAATAGAGAGAAAAAGACTGCTCAAGCTCATGTTATTGCACTGCAGACAAAGCAGCGGCAATTCATAAAAATTTATTAAAATTAAAAAAAATTCATCTTCACCCTTCCACACCTCACACTTTGGAAAGAAAAATAAAAAATGAAAAAATGAAAAAATGAAAAAAAGTCCTCTATT